AAACAACTGGAAACTGTCCTTGTTCCACAGAGCTGGTGATCTCTTTGCAGATATGATCTGATGAATGTTACCATTCATCAGTAGTGCAGCTACATATTCCTGGTGAAGCAGAAAATTAAGTCCAAAACAAAACTGATCAAACAACCAGGTGGAATCTGTCCAAGTCATTCAGACGCAGGACATATGCTCAGAAAAGAGGGTCCAGGAAGACCATTGCTCCTGAGCACCGTAGATGAAAACAATCAAAAAATGCTATTTTTCAATTTTTCATTCACATCTGGTGTAAAGCCAAGTGAGTCTTTGACAGAACAGTTTAAAGCTGACTTTTTTTTATAGGACAGCTGTCCCAGTGCCTTGATTGCAAGAGGGAGAAGCCAACACAAGAATTTCAGACCCGAAAGACCCTTTTCCCTTATCCTCACCACCAAGCATGGAGTCTGTTCACTGACCCACTTTCGGCAGAGCACACTTCTTTTCTACCTGCAATAAGTGTACATTGGGCTGGGGATTATAGCTCAGTGGCACAGCACCTGCCTGGCAAGCATAGGATCTTGAGTTTAATTCCCAGTACCACAAAAAAAGGATACATCCCTACTATCTCTTTTTTAAAAAATTTTTTTTTGGTTACCATAATGTCTCTTGTTGTCTTCAAAATAGCTACAGATACCTTTAGACATATTAATAATCAAATGAAACATAACAGTATAGAACCAATAAAAACAAAATGATGAATGCAATAAAAGATTTCAAAACAAGACAGTAGTAAAGCCACTATTATGGCTACCATAATGTATCTTGCTATTTTTAAAATAGCTGTCCATGCCATTGGCTATAACAAAATCAAACAAAACAAAACAGAATAAAACCCAATCCAACAAAACAATGAAAATGATACAGGACTTCAAAACAAGCTAACAGGGAATTAACAATGGCTGGAGAAGGAGATTCCCCCATTGATGTCACCTGCAGAAGGATATTCCCCCATTGATGTCACACTGTGTATTGCAATCCTCCGAATAAATGATTGGACCACTGACCCAAGACCCTCAAAGTCAGTGAAACTCCAAACACCACAAGAATCAACTTGCATTTCATCTCAGAAGCTATTATGATAGCCTGTGTTTCTCCAGATCAACCAGTTGCTTGGAGGGTGGGGGATTGGCTCTTCCAGTTTCTCAGCCCACACGCTGGAAGGGGCTGGAGCCTGGCTGTCCAGCAGCAGTGGCAACCTGTGCATGGTGCTGGTTTGCATAGAGGGCTTGTTTCTTGATGACTTGTTGTTATCTTCCCCCACAGTCCACAAAAGGCACTGACTCATAGGAAAAGGCTAAGGTCTGACTATTCCCCTATTATTAAATTTTATTTTAAAGTGAATAAAACAACAAAATAAAACACAGTGAAGCAAATCTGAACAGAACAATGCAAATGATACAGGACTTCAAAACAAGACAACAATGACCAGTAATCAAGACCCCAGAAATTCAGCACAAGAACAGAATATTAAAAGTTGTTAGTGAAAAGAAACATTACTATAAAGGAAAACCAGCAAATCAACAATAGCTACCATACATCTCTTGTTTTCTTCAAAATAGCGGTCCAAATCTTCATATATAATAAAATCAAACAAAACAAAACAGAATAAAATCAATAAAAATGAAAGAATAAAAGCACTATAGGACTTCAAAACAAAATAGTAAGAAATCAACAATGTTTACCATAATAATCCTGTTATCTTCAAAAGAGCTGCTCATACAATCTGACACAGTAAAACCTTACAAAACAAGACAAAATAAAATCAAATCTAAGGAAACTATGAAAACAATACAAGAATTCAAAGCAATATAATAGAAACTTAACAGTGGTTACCACTTTCCCTTTTTAGGTATTTCCTCTCCTATCACTTTCATAATTGTACTTTTTGGTTTGGTCCTCCTTTGGTTTTTAATGCTAGGTTTTTTTTTTTAATGCTTTAATGTTCACCTATATGAATGCAAGCCATCTTAGCCATGAACATGATCTCCAGTTGCATCCATTTTCCTACAAAAGCCTTGAGATTATCTTACTTTATAACTGAGTAGCTTTCCATTGTATAAAAATACCATATCTTCTTCTTTTTTTGGATACTGGGGATCAAATTCACGACTGCACACTTGCAAAGCAGGCACTTATGTTGCTGAGCTAAATCCCTGGCCACCATATCTTTCTTATCCATTCTTCAGTTGATGAGCAAGTTACCCTTGCTTTTTTCTAGTGTCCTGTCATGTGGAATAATTATTTTCCTTCCTTTGATTTTTCAGTCTATGAATTTCCTTTCACGTTAAATGTGTTTCTTGTATACAGTATATTGGTAGTTCTTATTTCTTGGTCCACTCTCCCTGTGTTTCTTTTTATTGATGAATTGAGGCCATCTACATTAATGGTTACAAGTGGCTTGCATTGGTTCATCTCTGACATTCCATTCTAACTGCTGTTGGCCCTCCACTCTTCCCCTCCATTCAATTGCCTGTCCTATTTGGTGATACTCCTCTGCTGCTGTTCCTGGAACTATGGTCATCTTTATCTCTCGCTAGAAGTCCCTTCAGTACTTTCTATAGTGTTGGTTTGGTGGTCATGAATTCCTTCAGTTGTTCTTCATCATGGAAGTGTCTTATTTTTCCATCAATTTTGAACTATAGTTTTGTAGGAGTACATCAATCTGGATTGGAAGCTTTTTTTTTCAGTATTTGAAACACTTTACTCCAAATTCTTCTTGACTTGATGATTTGCGTTGACAAGTCTGCCATGATTCTGATTGGTTTTCCTTTATAGTAATGTTTTTCTTTCCTATACCAACTTTTAATATTCTGTTCTTGTGCTGAATTTTTGGGATCTTGATTATTATATGCCTGGGTGTAAATTTATTTTGGTTTTGGCTAGTTGCAGTTCTACATGCCTTGCTTGTCTGTATGGCAGATCATTTCCCCATGTGTGGGAAGTTTTCTGTTATTACTTCTGTAAATAGTCTCTTTATGTCATTTGTGTTGACTGCTGCTTCTTCACTGATGCACATTACTCTTAAATTATTTTTCTTTGCAACATCCATCTTGCAGCTGTTGAATTGTTATTTTTTGGTTCCTTGTTATTTTTAAGAGATATTCTCTTTCATGATTGCTAGCTGCCATTCTGTCTTCAAGGTCTGAAAGTCTATCTCTAGCTAAGAGATTTTGCTAACTTTTGATGGAGTTTTTAATTTCTGGATATATCTTTGAATCTGTTTCATGCATTGTAATTCCTTCCTATATTATTCATTCAAGGTTTCTATTATTTTCCTATGCTCCTCTATTTTATCTGTCTTTAGATATGCTCAGCAATTCTTTTATTATATTTGTGATTTCTTCTTTTACCTGATATGTTATTTCTCATATTATTTTTTACAGTCTCATGAAGTTGTTTCTTTAGTTAATTGCTATCCTTTCAGAGATTTCAGGTATGTGACTTCCATTTTCTTTCCAGACTTTTTCTGTGTGGGCAGGAGGTCTGAGATTGCCTTTTGCTCATTCAGTTTGACATTTTCCAAGGTTCCTCCCAATAAGACAGCTGTGGAGTTCCAGACACTTCCCACGTTGGCTGCCCCTCCATGGTATAGGGGAATGGGCAAGGCACCTGAGTTTCTCTGAACCCGGGTTCCCAGGGAGGTAGCAGGGCATGGGGCAGGGCTCTCCAGATCTATGTAGCTACAGTGAGGATTCCATGTTGCCCAGGGGTGTGTGGTGGCAAGGTTGCTTGTTCTCTTAGTTTGCATGTCTACACTGGGACTCCCAGGATGGTGGCAGGCACACCAGGGTGTATTTTTCTGATTCTCTTGGTGGGTGCTGGCTGCCCATGGCCCGTTGCCTCATCTGATTGTAACCCCGTGGGCTAGACCCCAAACCCCATTTTATCTCGGGGACCACTTCCTGTTGCTCCCCAGAAGCCATACCTATCTATGGCTTATCACACTGCCGACAAGCTTACAAAACGGTATGGTTTCTGGGGGGGAACAGGAAGTTCCCAGGGGTGGAAAGATGGCATCACAAGTAAATTCCTAGGGGCAGGGGAGATAGGAGCTTTCTGGTTCCAGTTGAGGCTTTCCTGGCTACAGAGTCCTGTCTGAGCCAAAATCCTTTCAACTAAGTGCATTTTGAATAGTGAATTTTCACAAAGGGGAGTGGGGAAAAAAGAGGTAAGGTGAGGAGTTAAGTCCCTCCAGTTGGCTAATCCAAATATTTTCTTAACAACCTTCTTTTGCCAGGCCATAGGATAAGTACTCAACATATACATCAACCTATAGTCTAGGGAAGGACAAGAGCATCACATTCTAGAGAATGGGAAAGAACAGAAAATCAATCTTTTGTTCACTTGCTCTACATGTATCTGCTGTGGACATAGATGGACTAGGTGATATTACAGTAAAATATGTAGTCATTGTCTTCTTGGATGGGAAAAACAAGTGATAAAGGAACCGGAAAAAACCCCACAAATTGTGAAAAGGGCTATGAAGGAAAGGAATAAACTATGACTCAGGAATAAGGGGTATGAATTGGTAGTGGTAGAGGTAAACTCAGAATCAGGGGTCAAATTTGGCATGAGGATGTAAAAGTTTGAATGAAGAAATCCAAAAGGAAGTTGGATTTAAACCTGGGATTGGGATAAATGGTCTGAAATTTTAATCTATGCACATGGAAAGATACAAACACCTACTATATGTGACTAAGCAGTTTAGAAGAAACAATCTGAGAAGCAAAGGAGTTGTGCATGGTTCCAGCAGTTCCAGGACTCTGAGAGGCTAAGGCAGGAAGATTACAAGTTTAAGCCCAGCCTGGGCAATATGGCGACTTCTCCAGACTCTGTCTCAAAAATTTAAAATAAATAATATAATAAAAACCTAAAAAGAGGGGGTGTTTAGAAGGCCTCTGGCGCACTGCTCCATTAGACTACATTTCCCAGAATGTCATACAAATAGCGCGTGAACCGGAAGTTGATTACAGCCATTTCCGGTGCAAGCGGCCTCAAATGGTTATGGCGGCCCTGAGAACTCCAGTGTCGCTATGGAAGTTCCTGATAGTCTCTCGCGGCATGGAGCCGGTCTGTATCCGAGCCCAAACCCAGCTTCAGGCGGATGCTCTGTTTCAACCGCTGCTACTCCCCGTCGCGGTGGGGCTTCCACGCCGTCGGCTCAGCTCCGGCGTCGGTAAGTGACTTGCCCGACTCCTTCGAGGTCAAGAAGCTCTTTTTAGCTGGCGAAAACCACGCCGCGGCCCCTTTGGCTCTTCCCTCTGTGCAATCTCAAACTAGTCAACTTCGTTCTCTGCTGCAGAATCTGTCATCGCCCAGTGCCTGAGCTTTGTCACTGGGAAAGTGCTGTGCAAAGCTTACGGGGTCCAAGTAAGCTGAGGCTGGAACAGCCTTCCTTTGAGAGATTGCAAAGCCCAGAGGAAACCAGCAGTTGATTGCTACTCGGGTTGTGTTGGTGGACGAACGCAGGAGAGGTCTATGAACTGGGATGGGTTCCTGGGAGACATGACTAAAGCTGATACCTAGTTAACTAGGCTAAAGGTGAACAACATTACTCATTTCGAGTAGAGGGGACAGCATAAGTAAAAGTCCAGAAAGAGACTGAGCATAGGTATTTTGGGAGTAGGATTGATAAGGTATGATTATGGCTTCAGGATATAGATTTAGAAGGAAAAATCTTGTTTCTGAAATTTCTGGCTTAAGCGTTAAATAGAGAGTAGTCCCGTTTGTAACAAACCTGGGAAAATTGTATGAACAGTATTGCCGGGGAAGGGGGCGTGGTGGGTGCCAGAGTAGATGGAGTGTGGAGATGGGAAAGAATTTTAACATACTAAATTTTAGATGCCTTTGAAAGTAGTGATCCTTATACAGATGAAGTACAGTGAAATGTCCATTAGTTGGGTGAAGATAATCTGAGTGGAGATTCACACTTCAGTCTCCAGCATATCATTCGATTAAAGTCATAGGGAGCAAAAAGATCATCCAGTGACAATATGAGCAAAGAAAATGGTTTAGAAAGTGGTAGGATACCAACATTTACAGAACAAGCAAGGGAAGAGATGGCTGGAAACAAATGAGCTTTTTTTTTTTTTCCATAATTTTGCATAATGAAAATGGAAAGAGAAATGACATAAAGGAATAGGCAGACTGTGTGAGGTAGAGTTGAAATAAGATTGGAAGTGATTGAGGCGTTAGAACTAGACAAACTTTGTTAAACCTAGCTTTGCCCTTTGATAGCTGATTGCCTTTGGGTCAGCATTAGTGTCTTCATTCATAAAATTGGGGTACTGATACCTATTTTGTGAATTATTATATGTATTCCTGAAATTGTGCGTTATCTTGACTTAGATTTGAGGGCCTACAATGTAGTTTAGTAGTAGAGCACTTACTGAGTGTGTACAGGCCCCAGGTTCTGTACCTCACACTGCAAAACCAACCAGCCGGCGGCGCCTCAGAACAAACCTGTAAAAACTAGGAGACAGGTCATAAAAGGTAGCAATTATAATTATTGTTACATTAGTTTTTCTGTTGCTTCCAACAGTATATTGTGTTTTTGGCAGAGACCATATCATCATCATAGTGAATGTTCAAAAATTTGTATGTGTGTATATATGTATGTATATGTATTTTGAGACATGGTCTTGCTCTGTAGTAGTTCAGTCTGGCCTTGAACTCATGACAGTCTTCCTGCTTTGGCCTCTGATGTACTGGATTACAGATGTGTGCCACTATGCCTGGCTTGTTCAGTAAGTCTTACAATTTAAAATGGAAGTAGAATGAATGAATCTCATAGGTATTAGTATTATGCAGTTTATACAGTTTGAAGTAGACACTGTACGTGCGGTTTTAACTGATAATTTACTTTTGCGGGGGGTACAGGGAATTAATTCAGGACTTTGTACTTGCAAGGCAGTGCCTTACTGTTGATCTATATGCCTGATCCCTTACTTGTTGACTTGTCATTTTTGCTAGCTTCTTATTTACCGAAATCTGTTTTAGCAGAATCTGGTACATCAAAGATCAAGAAACCTACATTTATGGATGAAGAAGTCCAAAACATCCTTATCAAGATGACAGGCTTGAATTTGGAGAAGGTTTTTAAGCCGGCTATACAAGAACTAAAACCACCAACCTATAAGCTAATGACACAGGCCCAGTTGGAAGAGGTATATAAAACCAGAAATATTGATCATATACCTTTCTTTAAGGGCTTACAGAAGATTTCCAAAGGCTGCTACAGATGATTTTAGTTGTCTTCTACAGGCACCTGTGAGGTGCACTAATGGCATGGAACTGAGAAGCAAAATGTGAGTAGGCAGGCAGAGGGACCAGGAGTGTGACCAGAACTGAGCTGACAAGTATATGGGCCTGGTGTGGATGTCTGAATAGAGGGTCCTATCTGCTGTCAAACTGCCTGAGCATCTTTCCTTTCCCTGGCTATTCCAGCTTCCTTCTTGGAGAAGCATCACTAAGGGCTCCCTAAAATCAGGAGACCATGTTGAACAGCATCCTATTCAGACAGCAGCATCTTCCTGGAGCTGTGGGTACTGAGTCCTTTGTGGAATAATCTTTGACATATGAATAAGTGAAACATTAACAATCTTTCTAATTCAGAAATTGCATAGGTTCAAATTCCAGTGCAGCTTCATAGCAGTTTTCTTGCATTCTTGTGCTTCTGTTTTCTCTTTCATGAAATGGAGGTTACAGTAGCACCTAGCTCATAAGGTTGTATGGGCACTAAGTAAATGTGTTTGTTCAGAGTAACTGAATGATATCTGGCACATAGTAAGTACCCAGTAAATGCAATCCTTTATTTCAAGCAGATGGTACAGTGTGGCATTGTTTTGCAGCATTGCATTGCTGTTTTGATAATGATGAAGTCTTGCTGGTGTTCTCAGCCAAATGATAGGCAAAGGCCAGAGCTCTTGAGTCCCAAGTTTGGCTTCTTACTCACTGACTGTTGGTTATAACTTACTTTCCTTGCAGTCTTTAACAAATTTTTGATGAATGTCTGTTTCTATCAAATGATCCTTTTGGTTTGCAACCTTGTGACTTTCGTTAAGAAGTGTTTTATTTTATTAGGCTACCAGAAAGGCAGTTCAGGCAGCTAAAGTACGATTAAAAATGCCACCAGTTATGGAAGAACGAGCACCAATAAATGATGTGTTAGCAGAAGACAAGATTTTGGAAGGGACAGAAACAGCGAAACACGTGTTTACAGATATATCATATAACATACCACACCGGGTAAGTGTATGTCTGAATGCAAAATGATACATGCTTGAAATTCATGTGGAGATTGGTCTGTGGGATGATTTGACCCGGCTGTGTATTATGCTGCCAAGTGAAATTCCTGTGACTGAATGAGACCCTTCTGGAAGATGCAGTTTAAAGAGGATGAGAGCTCCAGACCAGCCTCACGTCTGTTACTGTTTCCTTGTGATTGTGGATTCAGTATATTTTAAATTGACTGCAGAGAGACAGATGTACTTACATAGAACATATGCAGACAGACAGAAATCCAGCCCCCCAAACCACAAGTGGACAAAAATCTGTAAGGTAGCAGGAGAAGGAAATTCTTGTTAAACGAATTATACTGTCTTCTTTGCTGAAGTTTTTTGAAAAGATGATGTTAATCCTGTGTATTCCTTGATGGTACCAAGAAACTCCAACATCCCAGTAGATTTTCACTTTACAGAATTTTCAGTAAGAGCAACACGTGTTTCTGATATAATTTTCAAACATTACTGCTTGTTCTGTTTTGTTTTTATTATTTTGCCTATCTTAGATTGATTGCCAGTATAAAAAAAACACACTTTGTCATTTAAAAAATGTTTCAGTTTTATATATGAGCCTTGCAAATAAAGAATCAAAAGAGTAACTTACAGTTCAGCCAACCAAATGTGTTAGAATTACTATAGAATGCTGAGTGGGAGAATTAATCAGTCTGATGAAGTATGATTATGGTTAAAAACCATGAATTCAGTTATGTCGATTCTTGTACCAGCCGCCTACATACCTGGCATAATGAACAAGGGTCACAGAGTTTACATTTTTATTAGAAATGTTTCTTTAAGCAGAATTTTAGTTAATTTTTGTGTTGTAGTTTATATTTGCAGTGCTATTAAGGCTGGTTATAGGAGCATTTTAGTAGCTTGAAAGAGAAGGAAACTTAGAATTCTGGTTTCTCAAATTACCAAACTTTTTTTGTGGAAGAATTCTTATCTTTACATTGTTTTTTAATCTGTAGTATTTGATGAAAGTCTTATTTTTCTCTTTAGAACTCTTACAGCTGTGCAGTATAGCACATTTGTTTAATTAATACATTAACCAGTTGTGTGTCAGTTACCAGCAATGTGCAAAGCTCTGTGTATTTCCAGCTCCAGGTGTTGAAAAGAATTATTATGCACATTTCCTGCTCCTTTTCAGTTATATAACAGTATCTGAGAAGTGTTAATCTTGCATTTAATAAATTGCCATATGAGTGGTACAAATAGTGGTTTAAATTCAGTGAAAGAAGCATTCTGAGGGCCTGGGATCTGGCAGCTAGAAGAGTGAAGAGACCAGAGGAGGTGGATGTCTGATGTCAATATGAGAAATCACAGAGGTGCAGGATTAAGACTACACATTCTTGAGTGTATTCCTGTTATCCTGTTAAAGGTAGGCTATAATGTGGTAAGATCTGTTTAGACGAGACTGTGGGATAGGGAAGTGAAATAACGTGAAACAGCTGTTTTCTGAAGTGAATTTAGATGACTCTCAGAATAGTTTTAATTGAAATGTTTTCTGTACTGAACCTACGTTAATACCATAGTAGGTGCTTACTAAATTTTAGGTTTCTGATGGTCAGATACATGGTAGTGAAGGAAGTGTTCAACCTTGCTGAGCCTTTCAAAGCTCAAATTATTAAACTTTCATATGCATGATTGTATTTTGTTTGCCAGTTGCATTGTATATTGTAGATTGCAAGTTGTTATCAGCAGGGATCCCCAAGCCCCAGCAACCAACTGATACAGGTCTGTGGTCTCTTAGGAGTCAGGCCACAAAGCAGGAGGTGATGGTGGACATGTCAGAGAAACTTGGTGTGTGTTTACTGCCATTCCCCATCACTTGTGTAACTGTCCAGACTCGCCTCCCGTCAGATCAGGGGCAGCATTAGATTCTCACAGGAGCGCCAACCCTGCTAGGAACTGTACATGTGGAGAAGGCTTTAGGTTGCCGTTCCTTATGAGACGCTCATGTTACAATGGTAGAATTAAAGTGGACATCCCCAAACCATCTCCACCTCCTCAGTACATGGGAAAATTGTCTTCCACAAAACTGGTCCCTGAAAAAAAACAAAACAACTGTCCATGGTGCCAAAACGTTTGGCCATCAAGTTTGGGGACCACTGTAATGGTCTTGGTGAGATATAGAACATCTCACTAAACGTAGAGATGAGTCTACATAGCTCATCCTTGATGACGTGTTCTATTTCAGGAGCGCTTTATTGTTGTAAGAGAACCAAGTGGCACACTACGCAAAGCTTCTTGGGAAGAACGGGACCGGGTGATACAAGTTTATTTTCCCAAAGAAGGTCGTAAAGTTTTGCCACCAGTAATTTTTAAGGAAGAAAACCTTATGGTAAGGTGAACTAGGTTTTGTATTCTAGACTTAACGATGATGGTTTATTTGTTGAGCCATGTGGATGTGGTGCTGTTGTAAATACAGACACATGTTTGTACCGGTTACATGATGAAAATTCTCCTCTTATAATTGTCTTAGATAGAATGTGGTTCAGGGGTAACCATTACAAAACCCATGTTGTTTCTGTATGTCTCTTGTTAAGCATGTATGTCCCCTGTGTATGGATAGGCAGCCCCGTCACATGCTAGGACAGGTACTAAACTTTGTGTTCTCATCTAATTCTATTCTGCGGTGTGGTTTTAGACGATGTACAACCGAGACCGACATGTTGACGTCCTTAATCTTTGCGTTGCCCAGTTTGAACCAGATTCGGCTGAGTACATCAAGGTAGATATATTTTATAATTTCTAACATACAGGTTAATGTACAGTTATGAGCAAGATTTTCAATATTGCATACTGAGTTTAGTTTTAAGATTTGATAGAGGGCGTTGATGGCTAACCTTTTAAAGCTTTCAATGATAACAGTGCTGTGGCATGTGTGTCACAGGTTGCCACCTCTGATATAGGAAAAGGAAAGGAAGCTACTTGAAAATGCTTTGAATACAGATGTGTATCAGATACGTATTTTATTTTCAAAACAGTGAGGGAAGTTAGTAGCTCTCTGACAGTTGCATTGCTAGTAAGTGAAAGGCTTTGGACCAAACATTGGCCTATTCTCTTAATTTACCATGCAAGCAGAAAGTTACTTACTGTTGTTTGCCAGAGTGTAATGTGTGTGTCTTAAATACCTCAGTATACTTACATATTTAGTGGTACCTTTTATGTGTAAGGCCTTATCATAGGTAGTAAGGTAATGAACTAAGACAGGATGTGTCGTGTCAATAGCTATAGTGCAGTGATGACTGTGTGGAAGGGTTCTAGATAAGTAGGCAGATAATTATCACCTTATGACTACAATGTTAGGTGTGAAAAGGCTAGAAAGGGTTTGTTAAAAAATATTCTGGACTCTTCCAGGGAACACTGTGGCAGGGAGCTGTGTGAGCAGTATTTTAGGTAGAACAGGAAAAAGCAACAGGTACAAATCAGCAAGTATGCTTGAGACATGGCTGGCCATCTGGTTTGCTTGTACATACAATGTGTGTGTACGGAAGGGTTTCCGTTTACACTAGAAAGGCGGATGAAGCCACGTTACAGGAGATCTCAGTGATAGGCTAAGGAAAATGGACTTTTAGTCAGCAGGTCTTTGAAAGCCTTTTGAGCAGGTAACGCCCTCAGCAGAGTCCTTGTGTAGGAAGATGATTCTGGAAGAAATGTCAGTAGGAGGCATGGGTGAGCTGATGGATGGGGTAGTTGATGGGAAAAGGGAATAGTTTCTTTTTCCCCAGTGTTCGAGAGGTGTGATAATTTATTTTCACGTTTATTTTTCTATATATATGAAGTCAGTGCTTATGTTTGGCTGTTGAGATGTACTAGATAAGGTTATAAAGGTCTGGTGTGACTTGCTTCAGGCTGCACACACTTCCACAGTGGGGAAGGCATAGCTTAGTTGTATCTCAACACATTTTTCCTAGTAAACCCTCCTTCCTGCCCAAGGTGAGGTGTGCCAAGAGTGGTCTGCAGCTGACCAGGTGCTGATGAGAGTGCAGGCAGCGCTCAGTAAACCTGGTTCACTCACACTGTCCTGGGCCAGCGCTCCTGCTGCTCAGTGTAATTAGAGTAGTGCTGCTCACTTGGTGTTTTCGTTTCTGAAGAGTTGTGTTTTATTGGAATAGGTTCATCACCAGACCTATGAAGATATCGATAAACATGGGAAGTATGACCTTTTACGTTCAACAAGACACTTTGGTGGAATGGCTTGGTATTTTGTAAATAAGAAAAAGATTGATGGTTTGCTGATTGACCAGATTCAGAGAGACTTGTAAGTGTGATCTTATGAATCATTCTTACTGCCCTAACAGTAAATCTGTACTTCAGCTGTGGTCTTTTTCCTGTGATAAAGTGAAGCTTTCACTTACCTAATTTTGTCTGGATTTCTTCTAGCATAACCAGTTTTCCCAGGCTTTGCTTTTATGTTCACCAACAAGTCTAGTGTCTTAGTTACTTTTCTCATTCTGGTACGAAATACCTGACACCCAGAGTTAAAGGTAAGTTTATTGAGCTTGCAGTTTGTAGAGGGTTAGTTCATAGTTGGCTAGAGCCAAGACCGGGGCCGCAGAGAGGAGAAATGGTTCTGCCTGGCAGAAGGCAGCGAAGCAGTGAAGCAGTGAAGCAGCAGCAGCAGGCCAGCCTTCTTTTTTTTTTTTTTGGGTCTTTTTCCTTTTTATCGGTACCGGGGATCGAACTCATGACTGCCTGCTTGCAAGGCAAGCGCTTATGCCGCTGAGCTAAATCCCCAGCCCAGGCCTGCCTTCTTTCTGTCCCCTTATGTACACCCAGGCTACCTGCCTTTTGGGTGGTGCCACCCATGGCTAGAGTGGGCAGCCACACCTAGATCTGTGCCAAACCAGTCAGTGGACTGAGTTAGTAATCATATACCCTTGATCCCAGTGTCAAACACCCTAGATCCATCCACCTCTGAAAAGCCTGCCCTACCCACGATCACATGAGACTTTGCGGGGACATCCAGACAGACACAAACTGTGACAAGCATCGCTGGATTTGCAGTTTTCCATGATGCCCTTTAGGGTAGATTCTTTGAAATGCGACTCTGGATCTGTACTTATCCTGGCTTATCCTAGGCTCACTCATCAGTGCTCCTGGGAGCAGTGAACTTTCCAGATATCAAAGGGACTGTTCAGAAGTAACCTTTGATGAGTGCTTGCTTTGTAGCAGAACTGTTTCTGGGCTTTTCAGTAAAAGTCATCACTTATAAAAACACTTTGTGTTTGAGAATCCTCATCTGAGTGACATTTTTAAGACATCAGAAAAGTGTTTTTCAGGGTTGCATGAAACAAAGACTCCTGCATTTTAGCATCAGGCTGGGGTGCTCCCAGGTTTCCAGCTGTGAATCATAGAAGCATACCTTACTATTGTGCTTTACAGGTATTACTTTAAAAAAAAAACAAATTGAAGTGACAACTCTGCATTGAAAAGTTTTGTTGATGCTATATCTTAGATAATTGTTAGCATTTTTAGCAGTAATATATTTTTGATAAAGGCATTAAGCCATTTGGAATTGGAAGGTTCCATGGTTTCTCTAAACCCATATTTGGAAATAGCATCCATTTTAGAAATAGCATTCCTAATAGTGTTGATGGCTGGGCCAGCTCACTCCAGCATGCACTGTGTAATTCAGCCCAGAAGGCAGAAGTTGCACCTCTACCCTGAATATGGGAATGGTGATGAAGATGCCAAGCAGTGATGTGCCTTGATGTGCAAGGGGTGACAGCCCCATGAATGAATTTGTGCTTTTAAAGTTCCTCATTTGTATCATTCTGAACTAAGACAGTATTTTTTGTAAAAACTTAAGGACAACACAGAAATGTTGACGTTTGAAAATTAGAAGTTCTTTATTGAGACACAGTAGGTGATACTGTAGTATTTATTATTCCTTGGGCATGTGAAGCAATTCCTGCACTAATGCCTCCTGCAGTCTAATGAATGGGACAGTTAGCTGACTGCAGATTCCCATCTGGACAGTAGAGAGCTTCTATCCCTACTGAATGGAGACCAGGCCACAATTCAGAATCTGCTTTTCAGACACAGGTCCGTCCCACTGCTGGTTTTCCATGGGGTCATACGTGTGGGCTGTTAAGGGAGTTTTTAAAATTTATTTGTGTAGATATTTTATTCCTACATGTGCTGGATGTTGTTAGGTTATAACACGGTAGATGTTTAATAATCATTTTTTGGTTTTTGCCTCGGAAAAGCTTCACTATATAAGCATCTCTGGATTTGCAGTTTTCCCACATGATGCTCTTTAAGGTAGATGGGAACTGGAATAAACCCTGAGTATTTCTCTAAGGGCATCGTGGCCTAAGAAATTCAGTGTCACCCTACTACTCTTTATCTTCCAGTTCAGGTAATGGCACAGTGAGAAAAATCAAAGGGTAGTAGTTGAGGGTAGCACGGAATTAGGTGTCCTCATCCCTTCTTCCCCCGCGAGAGGCCAGTACCTTATTAAAGTAGATACAGCACAGCCTCAAGACCTTTTGGTTGTTTTTATACATTATCCTCCTCCAGCTGGTAAATGTTTGGAAGTGTTGGCAGTGTGAAAAGACAGTGATTGATTGGTTTGGGGACGGCTAGGAAGTTTTATTGTACAAACCAGAATTGATTTCTCATTTTGGCTTCATCATGGCTAATGACACTAATCATGACACTAATGTTAAGACTGCTGATGTAGAATTTGGCTTGTCTCTACTCTGATGGGCCTAATTCATATTTGCTTTCCCAAGATGCTATTTTTTTAAACTTTATCCCTGTGAATATGCAAATGATCTGAGACTTTTCTTAGAATCACAGGCTCCTCTTCCAGAGGCTCTTATCCATTAACCCAGCTCAAGTGACTTTGAGAATTTTATAGCCACTAACCTGCTTCTGTGGGATGGAACTGTGGTTCTGCCCTCTATATTTGGTCACATTATTTTATGCTGGTAAAGTGGGCTGGCCTGAAAATGAGCTGCTACTAGGAAGGTTGTTTCAGTAAGTGATGTTTCCAAAAATACAGCCGCATTTGGAGTCATTCATTTCCATAAATTAGGTACTTCCTCTATTGACTCCTGCCATGCCTGCCCCACAGACTTCACGTGGGAACTAGTCAGTTTTTCTGAAATTCTTTTGGCCCTAGAGCTGCCACCCCACCCCACCCCGCTGCTCCCACATGCTTTTGACCTGAGGGAATTCTGGAATGTAATTTATCTTGAAAGTGGCACTTTCATACAACTGTGAAGCCAGTGAAGAAAGTCCTCCGTAACAGTAAGCCCTTTCATTCTCAGAATTGATGATGCTACCAGCTTGGTCCAGCTGTATCACATGCTCCATCCAGATGGCCCATCAGCTCAAGAGGCCAGAGAGCAGGTTGCTGACGGAATACATTTAATTAAGGTAAACAGACTTTTTTCATACTGGCTGTTTTGTGGTGATAATTGGGTTTAAAAAATTCACAAGTGGGTCGTATTTAATGTTAACTAAACAGACTTGTGAATATGGAACATTTATGGTCTTGAAAAAGGCAGTATGATCACAGGCCTGTATTCATCCTGGACCATGAATGGGGTGAGGAGTACGGTGGGTGATGAGTGTTGGAGTCTAGAGGTTCAGACAGTATGAGTAGTGTGCCCCTCATTCTTTGGAGTACTTCAGTGTGTCCCCAAGAGCAATTTCCTATCCTGTAGTGTGGTCGCAGAACAGGGTGGGATGTAGGTATCAAGCAGGAGAGGGTGGTGGTCAGATATTACCAAGCCTCGTTCCCATTATCATTTGGGAACTACACACTTCTTCAAACCATGGAATTACATGGATGTTCTATAAATGCTGAATTAGTATTTTTAAGAGAGGAAAGGGAAGTCATTGTATAATTTAATTTCTAATGCTTTGAATATAGTTTGTGGAACTGGCTTATATTACAGTAATATTTTTTTGTTATCTCACAAAGCTTACTAAAGATAAAATTGACTGTGACCACCCTGAGTAGAGAAACTATAGTAGTAGTCATGATTTCCTGAGATAAGCCAGATAAAACAAAATGCTTTTGAACATTCTTTAAAGTGAAAAATGATTTTCTAACGCTTATCCTATAGGTTTCTCTTGAATCCAGTTCACTTTGGTCTAGCAGGACGTACAAGTATAGTATCTGTTTTACATTCTTCTGAAAACATGCTAAAAGAGACCACAGCTAATTTGGTGTTTAAAATTAATACTGCTTGAACTGTGGGATGTTTTCTTGTGCATGTGTATTTACTGCTTTATAATCTGGGGAAACATTATTATGAAGGAAGATCTTAATTGGGACTGTTTCCTACTACAGAAATGTTAGTGTCTTAAAACTAAGACCTTTGTAAATAGTATATGTCCTATTGCTTTTTTTTCTTTTAAACAGGTCTTTGCAAAAACAGAAGCACAGAGGGGTGCGTATATAGAATTAGCACTTCAGACTTATCAAGAAGCATTCATTAGCCATTCTGCAGCTTCGTGAAAATATTTTAAAATTACATTTCATTTTATAAAAACAAGCTACTTGTCTCCTTATTAATAGTAAGATGAATGTTTAAAAAATGACAATAAAAAGATACTGATTTGTAGTTTTCTGTAAAAACTCTTTGCTTTGGGGCTGGGGACTTAGCTCAGCGGCATAAGCACCTGCCTTGCAAGCAGGTGGTCGTGAGTTCGATCCTTGGTACTGATGAAAATGAAAAAGACAAAAAAAAAAAAAAAACCCTTTGCTTTTAAAATCCTATATAGTACCTCTGACAAAAATACAAAGAAAAACTTGTCACCTCACTCATTTTCCTAGGCTGCAAGACATAACTGAATATATCTGAATGCTTGATTATGAATTTCTCTGTTGACACTAGACCAAGTTAAGAATAAAAGAAGTACCATACTTTTCTGTGCTATCAAAGAGGTATCACTTACTGGTAATGTGGTCACAACCTGGCTTTTTGAGGTCAGAAGAATGGAAGTTTTAGGTCTTGAATTTAGAAATGGGTAATTAAAAATTTCTGTCTACCAGATTTGGTGTTGTACTGCTATGATCCCAGTACTCGGGAAGCTGAGGCAGGAGGATCGATGTGAGTCTGAAGCCAGCCTAGGCTACACAAGCGAGTTCAAGGCCAGCCTGTACTACATAATGAGACCTTTTCTCTAACCCCCTACCCCTTGCAAAAGATTAACTACTAGACAAAATCTGTATGAGCCCAGTCAAGCTACACAGACTAAGGACAAAGGTAAGAGGAGATTGAGAAGGGTGTAAATCATTACAGCATGGACATCTACTTCTCAGAACTGTGACAGATAATACTTGACAATGCAGATTTAGTTATGGAAAAAAAAGAATGTAGGGCTGAACCCTATGTAAAGTATAATTTTTGCCTAGCTTTCTAAAACTAGAAGTCTGTTTTTAAATTATTCACAAAGTAAAACTGAAGTATTGACTCAAACCAATCAAAGCCCATGTTGTTTTAGTGAGGAAATTGGTAATTTAAATGCACACATAAATTCCTCTTAATGTAAGGAGGCTATTCGCATCCATTGGTCCATAGCATTTACTTATAAAATTGTAAGGAGTTTCTCTTAGTTCCAAGTACTGTAGATAGGGTAATGATCAGTATCTACATAGAACAGTGATCTGTTTAGTCAAGTAAATGGAGGATATGTTCAGTCATCCAGCATATCTTCATCCAGATTGATATCTGTTGTGTCAATATCTTCTTCTAATTCCAAATTGTCCAAATCTACTTCTAGCTCCAGTAAGCTCTGAAAATGAAAGGAAGAGGGTGGTAATGTTACATGATACTGTGTCAGAGAAAAGCTACCTAGGTCACTCTCCAAAGTGAGAGCTAAAATTGGCTTAATGGTCAGAAAGAGCTTCTTCTCATTTCAAAGACCCTACTATGAAATTTTACCACAGATTGTATCACTTAAACCATAGGCCTGCATGTGTTCACAAGGTGGGGGTGAGATGAATGATGCCTGACCTACCTTTTCTTCTTTGTTGGCTGTTTGGGAAGCCACAATAACTGGTGTGGGGGAAGCAGGTTTTCCATCAAGTTCCTGGAAACAGAAGTACAGATATAAAGACCAAAGAATTTGTCCAGAAATTTAAATTTTTTCCCCAAAGCAAAGAAGATCAAGATTAGGAAGTGGGAGACAGTACTGAAAATCAACAGTTCTCAGCCAGATTATCACATGTGGCACCTACTGACCTGTTGAGCTACAGATCTTGAGGGCTGAAAGCCTTTTGCCTCCTCCATAACGTTTCTCTCTTCATTTGGCTATCAAGTAGAAAATGATGAAATAAAATATTTTGAAATCATAACTGATCAGTAATATGGCCTAAACCCCAGGTATTGGCACAACCCAAAGTCACGAATACAATTCCACCCTGTCGTCACACTGAATGAAGCTTGGTGTCTCACTACGCACCGTCACAAGTGGGTATTGCTTGGCTGGCAACAGGTCAGCATGTGTCTCCTTTACCCACTCTTCAACAACAAAGGCTTCTTTTAATCCTGGGAAAAGGTTTTCATACTCTGTAGGGTCAGCAAGGGATTCTGCTGCTTTCTGATTGACTTTTGAAAGACTCTCTCTCCACAGTTTGACTACCCTGTTATAAATATGGAACCAAAGACAGACTAAGTAATTGTGTTCTATTTTTGTTTGAAACACATTTTCCTACAATTAAAGGTGTACCTTGAAACATGACTGGGTAAGTAAGTTCGGGCTAGGAAGGCAGCTTCTGGCAGTCGTCCTGTTCTAATCAAGAGCTCTAAGCAAGCATCCAGCCTAAAGATGAAAAGAGGAGGTACTGTTATATCAATAAAGGCTGTCACAGTGATGCACAACAGAAAGATACGTGGATTTAGTGCTGCAAAGTCAAACCTTCCCCAACTGCCCTCACATATTTGCTTCAGTTTTACTGAGCTGTTTACTTGTCTTAGGTGATATTTTATATAAAAAAGAAAAAGATCAGTGGACTTTAGGAATATGAAGGATAAAACAGCTTTTGTAACTACTATCAACTTACTTAATTTGAAAAACATTTTAATTTAAAAAGAACCTAAATGGGATTTGAAGGACTTGACGTAGGATTAGCAAATTTCACACAAAAGACCACAATATTTATCTGGCATTCAGAAACCAACTAGAGCAGATATTTTATTATCTGGCCTCCTGCTGTCAGACAAATGTCTCAGCCATCACCTGGTGGCTGCTGAGAAAGGAGTTCACCCTGACCACCTCATTTAGACCAATAGTGCACAGGATCCTCGTGCAAAGGTGAGAACCATTGTCCCACCTGTTGGCCATCTTAGCAGCTCTCCAGAACTCATTTTTCATTTCCCTCCAAAAGTCAATGTACACATACTGTTTTTTCCCCTTTTTTGAGGCTGTCTTGCTATGTAGTTCAGGACAAACAGTGATTCATCTGCTTCAGCCTCCTGAGTGTTGGGATTACCGGTGTGTGTGCCACTACTCTCACTACAAATACTGCTTTTAATTGCCGTGCTCACCAAGGTCTTACAGACTGAGTAATACTTACTTGCCCTGTAAAAAGTAGCTCATAAAGGCCACGTTATTTTTGCCATCTTTCTCTGCACCCTCTGCTAGCTTGTTCACCATGCTAGCATTTCCAGAGGCAGTGGCCAAAAGCAGCAGACCCCCATAATCCTGGGCATGGTGCAGGCATTCCTGGGCTAGGCCAAACTGACATTTACTGATGGCAAGCTCAGCAAGCTGTTTCCACTTCTGTTCTGACTGTGAGAAAGAGTTTCCAAGTTAAGATACATGAACACTCATGTTTTCAAAATCAACATTATTCTGTTACTGTATTTCTGTTCCAAAATGGAAGACGGATACTAAGTTGTGCTTGTTAAGTTGGCTCTTAACAGTTGAATAAGATGTATATTGAGAAAGTGAAAATTATTCACGTATTCAAAATTCATTCAATTTTAATGATACATGAAAAATATTTTTATTTTTTAATTAAACAGAGAAAGTAACATCTAACTGGAGTTTCAAGGTAATTAAATTGCAATCATTTGAATGTATGAATTTAATATTTTTCTGAAAAAGTGGAAAATTATATCTTCAATAAATATTATCTGGCATTTGTAATTTCTTAGAAATCAAAACACTATTTACTTGGGTGATCTTAGCAGCTAAAATTTATTTCACTTATTTGAAGTTGATTTACTACTAGTATATGCAGGACTTACACAATTGGGAATACACAATATACAAAGATGTAAAAGGTTGTCATGAAGCTGTCTTTAAGCGTCAGAACCCTTTAAACCAGTGTCTTTTTTGATAATTTGGGTTTCTGGCAAATTACTGTTTTGTCTGTGCTCAGACTTTCTTGGCAACTTTACTTACTATTTTACATCACTTACTCTTGCAAAATAAATCTCACCTAAGATAGGAAAACAAAATCACACTGCTAAGATTATCTTGAATATAATTTGCTTAACTTATGCAAAGATTAATAATGCAACTTTGAAAAAGTATCATCAAAATGAGTCACTAATTTCCTTGTGAGAAACATTAGCTAACAAAACATCCCAACAAGCACACAGAAATACCACTGACTGGAAGCTGTGAATTAGTGCTTACCTCGGCCTCCACTGCCAACTGGTATGCAATCTTCAACTCTCCAAGCTGAAGAGCCAGCTCAAAACGATGCTCAGGATCTGTGGATACTGTAAGAGCCTGCTGCTTGAAGCCCTAACCAGATTTAGAAAAAGAAAAATGGATATATGTGTGTGATTTGTGCATACAAAAATATGTCTACCAAACACAGTGCACATACCTAAAGGCCAATCCATTTCCCATTCAAAGGAAAAAAAACCTTGCTGATAAAGAAGTTAACAGATGACAATCTGTTAGGACTGGACAAACATCTTGTAGCTAAAATACTAATCACATAATGTCTACAGTTTAGATAATGGGAAACTCTAGTAAAACAATTAGTAAATTTAAAAAGTGTCAGAGTGATTGCTGACATTAAAGAATCACTGCATAAGAAGCAAAAGCAGTGGTACAAACTCAGTTTCTAGTATTCTCAACAAAGACATCTAGGCTAGGCCTCATTTTACAGATGAGATTAGTGGCAAAGAAAAGGGAGACAAACATAATGCCTTAGAGCCTGTCATCTGCGGGCCATTTAACAAACATTTTGCTTTCAAGCTCAGACACTGATCAAGTGTGACTTTCCTATGTCTTCAGTGTTGGTCTCATACCCAGTTCATTCATCAGCAAGTATCTCAAAGAAGAGAGAGCCTAAGATTTTCTTTCCATCCTTTATTAAACCACTAGGAACAGCTTTTAAGTCAGCTATTAGTAAATTAGCTTCTCCTACAAGACAGAGAGCACGGAGGGAGGGAGCAGCTACGGTCAGGTGCTCTAAAGATGTGGTGGTGTAGTGAACGCTCAGTATGGGATGGCCAGGGTGGAGAAGCCAGGCGGCTTTCGCCCTTCACTTCTATTCAGTTAGATCTTCAGGATGGTTTTATTCTGTTGGAAATACTTTTGACTTTTCAGATTATCAAGCCACCACTTACTTCCATCCATCCATGAGTACAATGTG